GTGTCTCAAAGTGTGGTGGCAAGAATATGGAATCGTTTCCAAACTAACGGAAACCCTTCCAGACGTCATGCTGGAGGTCGTTCTAGGGCTACAATGCAGCGCCATGGCCGATTTTTGCTCATGCAGGCACGGCGTCACAGGTTCCAGACTGCCACAGCTTTACAAAATGGCCTCCTTAATGCGTCTGGTACCCGGGTACCCACTCAGACAGTTAGGAACCGTCTTCGTAATACTGGTTTAAGGTCACGTAGACCAGAAATACGATTTTCCTTAACTGCCCGCCATGTTAGGGACCGATTAAATGGGGCCCAAGCTCACAACACTTGGACTCTTCAGGAATGGGAACCGCTTCTTTTTACTGACGAGTCCATATTCTGTCTCGAATTCACCGACAGGCGCGTTAGAGTATGGAGACAACCAGGGGAGAGGTTCCAGGCAGGTAACGTTGTGGAACATAACCGATATGGCGGAGGTTCAGTGATGGCGTGGGGAGGCATAAGCCTTCGTGGGAAAACTTACCTCCATGTCTTCCATAATGGTACCGTTACGGCCCGGATTTACTGCGATGAAATCCTTGATGCCTATGTCAGACCCTACGCTGGCGCTATCGGCCCTGACTTCATCCTTATGGACGATGGTGCTAGGCCACATGGAGCAGGGGTGACTGAGCAGTATCTACAGCAAGAGACAATTCAACGAATGGATTGGTCAGCCCGCTCCCCGGATCTAAATCCCATCGAGCATGTGTGGGACATAATGCAGACAGCTCTCTCTGCCAGAAATGTTCAGCCAAGAACGCTCCAGGAGCTGGGAACAGCTTTGCTAGCTGAGTGGAACGCTATCCCACAAAACCGGATACGCGATCTCTTTCGGGACATGAGCAGACGTCGTGAAGCTGTAATTGATGCTCATGGGCGTCAGACTCGATACTAAAACAGTTTCTGTTTATTTAGGATGAGTTTTGTTCAATTTAAGCTTTTTTGGGAATACCTCGTTGTTGCCAATTTTAAGGGTAACCCTTTTCCTGTGGTTCATTTTCCGACTGTTATTACGATTTTTGGAATTTTATCAATTTTTCAAAAATAATCTCAGTTCAAGCCAAAAAAAATATTTATTTTCACATATGCCCAAAAATAAAAGTGATCCTTAGCAAAATGTGGGTAGTATACATGTATATAGATATAGATCAAATGAAGAAAAGTTGAGTACATTTGTGTGTCTGTGTGGTATGTTGATTGGAATGTAGGAAATGGTACCGTTATTGGATGGCGACAATGAGTGACAAAGGAAATACCACAGCAGGAATGTAAACATGGCCTGGTAACTACTTAAGACAAAATAAATACGAAGCCTATTATTTTTAAGATACTCACTTAACCGACACAGATCCAGTTCAGTTCTTTATTACCTTGAACCTTACGGCTCATCAGTTCAAAATAAACATATATACAAGGATAAACAATACAATCACTCACACCCATATACACCCCCACAAATACACCCACACACACAAATACACACTCACATACCCATTGGTATAGTGTAGAGAGACATCCCTCTTTATATAGGTATATAGTCTTTTCTTTTCTTATTACTCAGTTTAATATATTTGGCTAAATTTGTTAACTGTTTTTTGTTCCCTGTTTCCATAAGTTGGATAAATGTATACATGCTAGGTCTTTCATAGTAATATTTCTTAATAAAACGCTTTCTTAAATCTAAAAAACATTCACATTTTAATATAAAATGAAATTCATCTTCGATATCCCCACTGTTGCAGTATGCACATGTTCTTTCAATCCTATCTACATTGTTATACCTACCAATTTCAATATTTAATTTGTGAGATGACAGTCTAATTTTTGTAATTTCTTTCAGATTTGTATTTCCTATGGGTTTTGTTAAATATGGTTGTAAACAGAAATTTTCGCCAATAAACTTGTACAGTGAACACTTAGAAGATGAATCTATTTTTTCTTTACATTCTTGCGTAAATATATCACACATTCTGCTTTTAATAATATTCATAATATAATCGGATGTATAGGTATCTCCATATTGCCATATGTACCCTACTCCCATTCTAAATAGTTCGTTTCTTACTCCATTCATCCATTCACTACCATTTTCTAACATTTCTTGATAACATGCATGTAAAACACAATTGTCAGTTTGTTTTAATTTTAACCAGTATTTAAAAATTCTAAATTTCCTAATAATTTCCAAAGGCAATCTTCCTAATTCTTGGTAAACCATAAAATTTGCAGTAGATTTCTTAACCCCTAATAATCTTTTACAATAACTTAAATGTATTTTCTCTATATCTGGTGCTTTATGAAAGCCCCAAACTTCCGCTCCATAATTAAAAATACTACAGACATATGTATCGAAAACATGAAGCTGAGTTTCAACGTTAAAATATTTTTTCTTAGACACGTTTGATACTGAAAACAATGCTTTTCTTCCTTGTTCAGCGATTTTTTGTTGAGTTTTTTTGAATTTACCATTAAAATTCATTAATATACCCAGGTAATTAAATTCATCTACAATATCTAAAACACCTCCATCAAAGTACCACTTATCTTTATCTCTTAATTTACCTCCGTTACGGAAAACCATCACCTTGGTTTTAGAAGTATTAACCGTAAGATTCCATTTATTTGTATAAAGTAATAAAGTATCTAACATTTTCTGCAATCCCTCAGAGGTTTCGGCCAATAACACCATATCGTCTGCATACATCATTAAAAATATATTAATAGTTTGTAGCTCTATAGAAGGACACCCTTCTGTTAAAAAATTCATTTCGCAATCATTGACATACAAAGAGAACAATAGAGGAGACATAATTTCCCCTTGAAATAATCCATTTTTACATTGAAAAAAATCTGACATGTTTTTGTTATACTTTACACAACAGATGAGAACACGGTTACAGTACAATGGGACTTCACATGTTCTATCAGTACCGGAAGAAAAGGCCCAATGGGTTTGTGTAGTCTTTAAGAAAAATCTTAATTGTAAAGCTGATCAGATTGAGATTGAAATTAAGATAAACTTTTTTGTAACATATGCGGTCTAAATAAAGATTAAACTGAATTCTATATAAAAAGCCATACTATATTTTAGAGATTTGGTTCTTTGTCTGATAAAACCTTATTTTGAGACTCCCCGCTTCGTTATCTATTCTTTATAGTGAATCTCGTCGCAATGTTTGCTGCATATTAACATTATTTGAACTTGACTTGTATTTTTTAAGACCAGACATTTTGGTAAATATGTTCATTTCATTTATAAATTGTCTTAATAATGTCTTCGGTCCACCTAAAATAAACAAGTATAGTTTGCATATTTCGAAAGTAATATTGAACAGTATGCTTCATACACTTATTTCGAAATCTAACGACCAGTATTTCAGCACACATTGTTGAAATATATGGAGCTAGCGGATAACATTAACGGCAGTCCCTCTAATGTTTGAGACAAAAAATTGATTGCAGACATAGTTATAATTTAACTCTTTTATCTTACTGTTAATAAATTGTATAGTTACCAAAAACAACAAACAGAAGTAAGTACATTATAAGTAAGATCCAAAGTAACAGAATCGCACGCTTTGGATTCCCGATTGCTCCGTTCAGTGTGAAAATAACAGAAAGTGTTATCTGTCAAGTATGTAAAATATATCGACTCTATTTTCACAGTAAACCATTATATTTCACTGGTAAAGTGTATTATAACCCAACAACTACAGAACCTTGGGAAAGATAAAAATAAACAGGAAATAAAACTTAGCTGTTAATTGACAGGTTCAATATTCTTTTTTTACCAACCAAAATATGAAAATTTCAACCAAATATTGAGAAGAACAGATATCTGGTCATATACATAGAATCAGAAGAAAGCATATCCAACAAAAACACGGACTATCACAAATTTTAAGTCAAATGGCCACAGTAAAAATAGCCATCGTCTATTCCATACAAAGTATTAATATGTGAAAAGTGTTTGAACGTGATGTAGGTATGTTGGGGATAATAAAAGTTTTCCTACTACTAACTTTTATAATAGTTAACGAGGTTTAATAAGTATGTAATCGGAGCCTTAAGTTGACCCTTGAATTGTTGTTATTTCAGAAATAAGATATATTTCCCTTAAAACTTCAGGGTTAAAACACATGTTAAATAAACATATTCTGTCCAAGTCAAGGGCCAAATCTAATTTTGAGGAGTCAAAACATGCTCTCAAGGGTCAATTGAAAACCTGTGTAATGGGTTTAGATTTTAACTACACTCAGAAATGTTTGCTCTTGTCATACATTGATAACTACAGTGTAGTTTGAAGGCAAAGAAACATACTGAAATATATACAATACTACATGGGACATGTCATCATAAGGAAGGTTCGTAGTTCGTTAGTAATTACTTTATATACTGTCACCAAGCCCACTCTCCTCAGTTATACAGACTGTTTAATAAATAAACAAGAGTTTAGTATCAGCTGCATGTTGTTGGAAGACAAATGTGATGTTAGCAGCTGAGATACCTATATAGACCTGACTTGGTGTCGTTAGGGTACCCTGTAAACGACTAAATAATACACTGATTAGCACTTAAAATAAGCTGTGTGTCACTGACGACATTACCTGGTATTTCAATATACAACGTATAGTTAGTACTTACAACCGCTATATTATAACCTATATTACAAGATCTTGTAATAATCGTTCATCTTCGTGTACAATTTAAAAAGTATGAAAAGCTCACATTAAATTGTAAGTAACATTGCTGTCTATAAAAACGAGTGAATGAAAATACAAATGTGCTTCTAGATCAAAATCACTTACATGTAGGAATAGGAAAATCTCATTCTACCCTAAAACGAGTGGCCATGGGCTAATCCTAACATTGTGTGCACGTTAAAAAGAAAGTGTGCCATGTCGCAAAGGAATGTCATTGTTAAAAATTAAAGCAGGACCACACGTCACTCAGGTGTGGCATTACCTGTGTTTACCTGGTGTATTGATTGTGCGTGTCACACAGGTAATCTCGCTGAGACGGTCCCCAATCAGCGCCATTTTCTACAGGTATGTAAGTGGAACCGGTTGAATGAAATCTATTTAAATGACTAGTACAATGGCCGCTCCCCTCTGAGGACTCGCTTGGACCTGTACGCAATAGAATTGGACGTGTACGGGGCTAGCTGACACAACGGAAGTATCCATATGCCTAGCATATAGAGTGGTACCTGGACGGACAAGCTGATATTATCGGACCTGTTGGTATACAGAAGCACCAAGATGGGCCGTGGGTCATTGTGTCTACTTTTTTTCGCCCTGTTTTTCCTGTTAGTGTCACTAGGCCTGACCCTGACAAGTATAGTGACAGACTTCTGGTACACCGCCGATGCCACAGCGTCCACAAACACAACAGTCCAGACTGTCTTCTCTTACAACTTCGGAATGTGGAGGAAGTGTTATACCCATTCCATGCCAGACAGTAAGTACGACTATCCACTGGGTCCCGTAGTCTAGGTGTAAAGTATTGCGTGTGTAAATGTACGTATAGGTGTACCCATCATATTCTATGTCATGACACCCCCACACCCACACCCAAGCCCCACCCATCAGGTATACAGCTCTTACCTTGACAGGTGTGTATTTGTATACGTCGCAGTCATACACAAGTCTACACACATTACCAACCTACGTACACATACATTATAAATTAACCAGCTAAGTATGAGGTAATTCCAAGTCGTATCCCCTTATAATCCAGCCGCAATATAAACCCTGCATGTACAATTACATAAATTACGTGTACTTCTAATTCTATTCCTTACTACACACGACCACACAACACACTACCACGACCCTTCCTACACACTACTACAAACTACAACACACAACCACAACCCTAACCACATACTACCACAACCCTTACTACAATACACACTACCACAACCCTAACTACACATTACAACACACTACCACAACCATTTACCACAAGCTTTACTACACACTACCACAACACACTACCACAACCCTTAATTACACACTACAACAACCCCTACCACAGCCCTTACTACAATACACACTACCACAACCCTTAACCAGACACTACCACAGCCCTTACTACAATACACACTACCACAACCCTTACAACACACTACCACAACCCTTAACTACACACTACCACAACCCTTAACCAGACACAACCCACACACTACCACAGCCCTTACTACAATGCACACTACCACAACCCTTAACTGCACACAAACACAACCCTTTCTAAACACCGCCACACAACCCATAATCACAACCCTTAACTACACCCTATCATAACCCTTAACTACACATTACCACAACCCTCAACTACACACTACAACATTCCTACCACGCAGTACCACGACCCTTACTACACACTAACACAACTCTTACCACGCACTACCGCGACCTTAACTACGCATTATACCACGAACCTTACCACAGCAAACCACAACCCTTAGCTACACATACACTACCACAACCCTTAACAATACACTACCATGACCCCTTTCATTGCCATTACACAGTTATACAATTGCTGAGGCTCTCTCCCCCAAATTTACCCCCACACAACTCAGTAGTGGTTCCCTCCCAAATACACTACTACACACAACTATGGGCGTTCCCTACTCTTTGCACCACTATACAACTCTGTTGTGGTTCCCTTCTAATACACCACTATACACCTCTGTTGTGGTTCCCTTCTAATCCAAATTTACCCCCACACAACTCAGTAGTGGTTCCCTCCCAAATACACTACTACACACAACCATGGGCGTTCCCTACTCTTTGCACCACTATACAACTCCGTTGTGGTTCCCTTCTAATACACCACTGCACATTACAGTTGGGGTTCCCTCCCCAACATAACTAGTTCCCTACACAACTATGTTGGGGTTCCCTCCCCCAATACACCACTATACAATATAGTTGGGGTTCCCTTCTAATACACCACTGCACATTACAGTTGGGGTTCCCTCCCCAATCCACCACTATACAACTCTGTTGTGGTTCCCGCCCCAACACCACTATACAACTCTGTCGGGCTCCCACACAACTATGGGCGTTCCCTACTCTTTGCACCATTATACAACTCTGTTGTGGTTCCCTTCTAATCCAAATTTACCCCCACACAACTCAGTAGTGGTTCCCTCCCAAATACACTACTATACACAACTATGGGCGTTCCCTACTCTTTGCACCATTATACAACTCTGTTGTGGTTCCCTTCTAATCCAAATTTACCCCCACACAACTCAGTAGTGGTTCCCTCCCAAATACACTACTACACACAACTATGGGCGTTCCCTGCTCTTTGCACCACTATACAACTCTGTTGTGGTCCCCGCCCCAACACCACTATACAACTCTGTCGGGCTCCCACACAACTATGGGCGTTCCCTACTCTTCGCACCACTATACAACTCTGTTGGGGTTCCCTTCTAATACACCACTGCACAATACAGTGGGGGTTCCCTCCCCAATACACCACTATTCTAAACAGTTGGGGTTCCCTCCCCAATCCACCACTATACAACTCTGTTGTGGTTCCCTTCTAATCCAAATTTACCCCCACACAACTCAGTAGTGGTTCCCTCCCAAATACACTACTATACACAACTATGGGCGTTCCCTACTCTTTTCACCACTATACAACACTGTTGTGGTTCCCTTCTAATACACCACTGCACATTACAGTTGGGGTTCCCTCCCCAACATAACTAGTTCCCTACACAACTATGTTGGGGTTCCCTCCCCCAATACACCATTATACAACTCTGTTGTGGTTCCCCCCCCAACACCACTATACAACTCTGTCGGGGTCCCCGCCTCCAGCAAACCACTGTGGGGTCCCCAGTCCAAGGGGAAAGGAAGCTTGTACACTGTAGTACACTGCCCGTACATCACCAGTCTGAGGGAGAGGGAGCCACGTAAACCACTCAAGTACATCACTTATACAAGGGGAGGGATCCAGGTACACTGCCCCTGCATCCCCAGTCTGAGGGAGGGGGAGCCACGTAAACCACTCCTACATCACTTATACAAGGGGAGGGATCCAGGTACACTGCCCCTAAATCACCAGTCCGAGGGAGAGGGAGCCACGTAAACCACTCCTACATCACTTATCCACGGGGAGGCAGCATTGTACACAGCCCCTACATCACTAATACACGGGGAGACAGCATGGTACACTGCCCCGATATCACCGGTCTGTGTTGAAGGGAGCCTAGTACACAGCCCCTACATCACCAGTCCAAAGGGAAATAACTCTATATATACAATACAGTTGGGGTTCCCTCCCCATCATCACTAGTTCCCTACACAACTATGTTGGGGTTCCCCCCCCCAATCCACCACTATACAATACAGTTGGGGTTCCCTTCTAATACACTTCTATACAATACAGTTGGGGTTCCCTCCCCAATACACCACTATACAACTCTGTTGTGGTTCCCGCCCCAACACCACTATACAACTCTGTCGGGGTCCCCGCCTCCAGCAAACCACTGTTGGGTTACCAGTCCAAGGGGAAAGGAAGCTTGTACACTGTAGTACACTGCCCGTACATCACCAGTCTGAGGGAGAGGGAGCCACGTAAACCACTCAAGTACATCACTTATACAAGGGGAGGGATCCAGGTACACTGCCCCTACATCACCAGTCTGGGGGAGAGGGAGCCACGTAAACCACTCCTACATCACTTATACAAGGGGAGGGATCCAGGTACACTGCCCCTAAATCACCAGTCCGAGGGAGAGGGAGCCACGTAAACCACTCAAGTACATCACTTATACAAGGGGAGGGATCCAGGTACACTGCCCTAAATCACCAGTCCGAGGGAGAGGGAGCCACGTAAACCACTCCTACATCACTTATACAAGGGGAGGGATCCAGGTACACTGCCCCTGCATCACCAGTCTGAGGGAGGGGGAGCCACGTAAACCACTCCTACATCACTTATCCACGGGGAGGCAGCATTGTACACAGCCCCTACATCACTTATACACGGGGAGACAGCATGGTACACTGCCCCTATATCACCGGTCTGTGTTGAAGGGAGCCTAGTACACAGCCCCTACATCACCAGTCCAAAGGGAAATAACTCTATATCACCAGTTTGAGTGGGAGGGGTTAAGCACACTGCCCATGCACCACCTGTATAAGTTGAAGGAAGCCTAATACACAGTCCCAATTTGACAGGGGAACACCAATCAATTCTGAGGCGATCTTAAAAATGAATCACTACAAAAACGAGGTCCTTTTGGTTCCTTGTGTTGCTTTATAATATATGATAATCTGGATGCAGGGCAGTGTTTGGTCGTGATTGTCGGTACGATAGTCAGTGAAAGGATGTATAAAGGAACATGTCGGTGATGTGGTCGAGATATAAATTTCCTGGCCAGGTAATGAAGCCTACATAGTCAGTGACAGGGTCGAGTTTGTAGGCTTATTTAGTTCTGTGTCAAACATTTACCTATTTTGCAGACGAACGATATGTATTTAATGTGTTGTTTACGTGTTTTGTAGGCGTACCACTTGAACGACGGGCCGGTATGTGTGGCTACACGTATCAAGATCTCCTCCCTGTCAGAGAAGACACGCGTACCTTCGACGAGAAACGGTACCTACGTAAGTACTCCATCATAGCTTTTATCTAGAAATATAAATATCCATCTTTACTTAATAAATTGTTTGGCAATAACATTTTCAAAGATTTGGTTTTATTTTGAAAGGAAACACACATTATAATATACGTATATTCTCCACCATAGTGCTATATGAAGCGTAACGTCTGTAATATACAGGAGATGTGTTTCAGCGTCCGGAGTACTCCGTTGTCACCAGACTTTCCGAAATTCATGTGATTTAAGATTGCTCTGATTGGTCACAGCATTAAATATATCAAAACGAGGCTTACATTATTTCATTATAGTATCTAAGATTGGCTAATACATCATTACAGTCTGAAATCCCCAATTCAGGCCAGTAACATTAACGGGAATTTCATTGAGATTTCAAATGTCGGCAATAATACTCCAGAACTGGTCACGTTAATTGATGTTGGCCTTCTCCGTTCTCCATACCTGGAAACTTACCTTTATTAAATTCTTCTGCGACCATTCCGATCAAGCTTTTCTCTAGTTTCGTTATGTTTTGCGTTGTAATTTACTGTCAACGGGAGTCTAGTTGAACAGGAAAACCTAGTCCAAAGGAACTTACGAGAGATTGAAAGATTGATTTAACGCAAAATCGTAGTCCCGTCGACCTTATGAGAGATTGAATGAACGCGAAATCGTAATTCCATGAGCTAATTATAGATTGATTGGACGGGAAATTGGAGTATCATGGTCCTTATAAGAGATTGAATGAACGCGAAGTCGTAATTCAATGAGCTAATTATAGATTGATTGGACCTGAAATCGTAGTCCCTTGGACCTCATGAGAGACTGAATGAACTCGTAATCGTAATTCCATGAGCTAATTATAGATTGATTGGACGGGGAATCGTAGTCTCATGAACCTTATGAGAGATTGAATGAACGCGAAATCGTAATTCAATAAGCTAATTATAGATTGATTGGAAGAGAAATCGTAGTCTCATGGTCCTTATGAGAGATTGAATGAACGCGAAGTAATTCAATGAGCTAATTATAGATTGATTGGATGGGAAATTGGAGTATCATGGTCCTTATGAGAGATTGAATGAACGTGAAGTCGTAATTCAATGAGCTAATTATAGATTGATTGGACGGGAAACCGTAGTCCCGTGGACCTTATGAGAGACTGAATGAAGGCGAGGTTGTAATGCAATAAGCTAATTATAGATTGATTGGACGGGAAATCGTACTCTGAACGCGAAGTAATTCAATGAGCTAATTATAGATTGATTGGATGGGAAATTGGAGTATCATGGTCCTTATGTGAGATTTTTTGGACGGGAAATCGTAGTCTCATGGTCCTTATGAGAGATTTATTGGACGGGAAATCGTAGTCCCGTGGACCTTATGATCGTCCAATATACCGTATGACAGATTGGTTGAATTTGAGATCGTAGTTCCATGAGCTATCGAGAGATTGGTTGTTACAAGAGATTTGTTGAATTGGAAATCGCTATGTTTTGGGCTCGAGATATCAAACACAGACCAATGGCATGGGTGATAAAAAGTGTTACGGTCAGTTGCATGTTACATATGTTACCAGACGGCTATCCTTACTCAAAGTGTTATTCCAAGAGCACGTGTGCAGAATTCAGTTACTGAAATCAACTCAAATCATCCACAATGTAGTGTGTACAAAACCCAAGGGTGCGAATAAGATGTAAGTATACCAAGAGCACATTTCTTGGATTTCGAAAATGAGAAATCGTAGTTGCACAGAGCTAGTGAGAGATTGGGTGATTGTGACAAGATAGTTAGGGAGCCTCTGAGAGAGTTTGGTTAGCACTACCAGTGACATGGGACCGATGTGAGATGCAGTTAGGAAGCCTCGGAGAGAGACCAGTGACATGGGACCGATGTGAGATGCAGTTAGGAAGCCTCGGAGAGAGACCAGTGACGCGGTACCGATTTGAGATGTAGTTGGGAGCCTCGGCGAGTTTGGTTAGCACTACCAGTAACATGGGACCGATGTGAGATGTTGTTAGGAAGCCTCGGAGAGAGACCAGTGCCATGGGACCGATGTGAGATGTTGTTAGGAAGCCTCGGAGAGAGACCAGTGACATGGGACCGATGCGAGATGTAGTTAGGAAGCCTCGGAGAGAGACCTGTGACATGGGACCGATGTGAGGTGTAGTTAGGAAGCCTCGGAGAGAGTATGGTTAACACTACCAGTGACATGGGACCGATGTGAGATGTAGCTTGTGAATTGTGAGTAGGTAGACGGAGCCAGTGAGAGGCTTGGTGAAGTCTACGTTGTCCCATTAACTACACATCCCTGCATGAAGTATATGTTTTTTTCGTTACAGATTTGGAGAGATCGTGGCTTGGGTGTATGATAGCTTGTGCCGCTGTACAAATATTCAGTGTCCTCTCCTTGATTTGTGGACTTTGGCCAGCCGACTGTAAAAGTTTCAAAAAGTCGAGTCTCTACCTGGTGTCCGCCATCTTGTGTCTGATCGCAGGTAAATAATGATAGTTGATCATGATATAAATTGTAACTTCGAGTGTGTACTACGTCACTGGTTGTGTTCCTATTGAATACATCAGCGTAAACATATCTGACGGTAAACGTGACGTGAAAACCAATTACTAATATTTACACGTGTGTATACATATTGTCGTTTAAGTTTGTACACTGTTATAATTGTAGATCTATAGGGAAATATAAGTTACATAAATGTTCTTGGTACAGGTCTGCCAGGGATAATCGATGCATGATGTTCTTGGTGTGTGTTTTAGATCTGTGAGGGGTTGTTATACGGAGAAATGTTCCTGATTTATGAACAACTATTACTAAAAGAATTATCTCTGTTAAGAGGGACTGCAGATACAGAAGGGCCTATCATACGACTATGCCCCTGTTTTTAGGCCAGTGTAGTAATATTACATGCTGAGATGTTTCTGTGTTTTTTCCTTTGTAGGTCTGTGCGGGATTGCGAGCGGCATATGTTTCATTGCCCTGCGAGACAAGGACATCTACATGCGCATGATCTATCCTAGTCACGTGACTTACGCTTACAGCTGGTCTTTCGCGCTGGGTTGGGGAGGGACAGGTCTCTGTCTCCTCGAGGGGTTTATCTTCTTGTGTCTCCTCCGGAAGGACTACGATAACGTCAACGAGACACGGAAGTACAACTCTTTCGGCTGAAAAGAGGACAGGACTGCTTTGTGACGTAATACTCAGACACAAATAAATGCGTGATAATACTTGAAGTAATATACTCTATCTGCTGTGTACAAATTCAGATGGTACAGGTCCGTAAACTGACCCCGTCGTGCTGCTGTCACGACGGTCTCTGCGGACTGACGGACTGTGTCGCTCTGTGGAGGAGGAGGAGGACACTATATATAACAACATAGAAGTTGCTATTGTAATGGAGAGGCTTTACCTGGTTGACATATTCTATCTCCGACCTGTCTCAGACCTTGTCTCACTAGTACGTGGTTGTAGATACCACTGGTCAGTCTAGTTCTACAGGTGTCTCCTAAGTAACAACGTGGACTTATGTTCTTCATAATCATGTAATACCTATAACAATACCACATTCCACTGTCTCAGTACCTGCTGTAATATTGTCCGTCTTGATCTGTATTCCAGACTTCACATGAGTTATAATATAAATATGCACAAACTACATAGTTGCCCACTAAGACATGGCCTTTACTTCTATATTACTACACCGATTGTGTCTCTAAGGTAGATGTTGTAAATGTTTTAAAGAAATCCGACTATTATAGACAGTTACATGATGTAGTTATGTTGCGCCAGCCTTTCTATTAGGTCAATTGGTTAATTGAGGACGTTATAACAAAGTATGTAGCCAAGACTTTTCCAAATTTAAGCATTAAATGTATATGCTAGTGTGGGAGAGAGTGTTATTCCCTTCATTGTCAGAACCGTGGTTTAAATTTGAATCGTGCAGTGCATACAAAATGCGAATCGGGTTTTAGATACGAATGAACTGTGATTGTATCAAAGTCTCAAAAAGGGGACGCGCATTGCAGTGTCGTTTAAGATTTAAACAACATACCCTATATATCGATATCTTATGAATATCTCATCACGAGTATTTGGTCTCTGGTTGCTACAAGAATAACAACAATACCACCTGTTCACATACTTACACGAAGTTTCTTGTATGCCATCGAAATTTACGAGTTATCTTCCGTTGAACGATCAGCACACTGTTAGTTATGTGGATGTTATAAATGAAAACTCGGCTGGTTTTTTCTTTTAAAAAGAATATTTTGTTCGTGTTTAAAATTTTAACACAAGATATTGATGACTCATTAATGCTACCGTAAAAAGTTTCAAACGTTTTATTCACACCGACATCGCAATATTTTGTATGATTATTTTTTACGTATAAAAACTTCACACATACAGTAGGGACATATTTAAACAGTCGTACACATACGGCAGTATCCTGTTTGTAAACTAGCGCACACACATAAGGATGACGCTTATGAAAGCCGGTGAGCACATGTAAACTAGCGTACACATGTAGTAGTGACGTTCATGTGTACATGTATAAAAATGTCAGTTTCATTAAGTGGTAGTATGATGCCCGTATATTTTGTCCTTTTACATCCTTAAGAACATATATAATTATATATACTTTATATTTTGCAATTATTTGTGAAATAAATGTTACTCAAATTATATAAATTGGCGTTGACGTTATTTCTTTTATGTCTCCGCAGCGATTCTTTCATATTATAAAACATGTCAGGAGAATGATAGTGGATCTTCTCGTTACACCAGAGAAACCAGTCTGATTATGACGAAACTCAACTTTGAATTAAGGGGGAAGCACACTTGGGAGTAACTATGGTGCAGCAGCCTATTGGCAGGTGGTCTAAGGGAGACAACTTCGTTATTTATGTGTGTCGTAGAGATGGCGAAAACAAATAGTTTGTGATCGATTGTGCATATTGTTACGACGTACACACAAACACCAAGGTTGTAACATGTCCGTGGTTTGTTACGACGTACACCCAAACACCAAGGTTGTAACATGTCCGCGGTTTGTTACGACGTACACACAAACATCAAGGTCGTAACATGTCCGTGGTATGTTACGACGTACACACAAACACCAAGGTTTTAACATGTCCGTGGTTTGTTACGTCGTACACACAAACACCAAGGTTGTAACATGTCCGTGCTCTGTTACCACGTACACACAAACACCTAGGGCGTAACATGTCCGTGGTTTGTTACGTCGTACACACAAACACCAAGGTTGTAACATTTCCGTGGTTTGTTACCACGTACACACAAACACCTAGGGCGTAACATGTCCGTGGTTTGTTACGACGTACACCCAAACACCAAGGTTGTAACATGTCCGTGGTTTGTTCCCACGTACACACAAACACCAAGGGCGTAACATGTACGTGGTTTGTTACCACGTACACACAAACACCAAGGTCGTAACATGTCCGTCGTTTCTGTAGTTATCGCCCACTTTACTTAAAGTCTGAGTATTTGATGCAGAAATAAATCATGAGTGTATTTATATGTAACAATGGGGCCCGATATCCCTATCGCTTACCCGTTATTCATCTGATATCTGTGGATGTCGAAGAGAGCCAAGGTCAACCGTATTTAAATCCTTTTTAGTGTGCTAAATATCACTACTCTACACGATGTGGGTCTTTGTTGTTGAAAGATTTAATACCTTAATGTGAATGTTCGTTTGAAAATTTAATAAACATTTTGTATCTAACTATTGTGACCTTCAAAGTTGGTATGGGTCATTTATCCAGATCGCCAAACTTAATAGCACTTTACACCATTAAGCTACAGACCAAATATCTTGATGCTAGGATATTGGTTAACTTTTAACGCTTAACGTTCAATGCCTATGAATGCCAACTGAAAGCAGTTCAATACTTATATTTACCATGTTTGGAATCTGTTCATCTCAAAGAAAATTTAATTACACTTTTTTTTTTATTCAGCATTTAGTTCAAATAATATATTATCGTGTATGCTAGTTCAATGAATTTAGAACAGACATCGCTCAAGTAGAGTCAGTGGTATTCAACGTAACAATTATGACGTCAACAATCAGTCTATGGCATTCATACGAAGGTAAATATATCCTAGTGTATGACGCAAAGGTGTATCGAATCAACCAATCATGTTACTGACGCTTCTTCTGCACCTCGAATTTAATTGGATACAGTGAATAGAATGTACCGTTTAGTCAATGCTTAACGTGTATCTTCACGTGTAAGGTTAATAACGCCGTTGCAAATACATCGTCATGTAGATAGGCCTAACGTAATCCGATGTAAATTGCTAATGACATCGTTAAAATCACGTCGTCATGTAGATAGGCCTCACGTAATCCGATGTAAATTGTTGATGACATCGTTAAAATCACACCGTCATGTAGATAGGCCTCACGTAATCCGATGTAAATTGTTAACGACATCGTTAAAATCACGCCGTCATGTAGATAGGCCTCACGTAATCCGATGTAAATTGTTAATGACATCGTTAAAATCACACCGTCATGTAAATAACATAAATCTAAGAAAGTTTAAAATACGATGTAAGGTTTATAACGTAGTTAAAAATACTCACTTTTCGATTTTATGTTTATTTACTGAACGCCGCCATCGAGGGTATAACCTAATCAAATCGGAAATCCGACACCTTGAAAGTCAATGTCTGGCGTCATAATATATGTCAGACGTCAATGACGTAACAATTAACAGACACCACACCACTCCTATCCTAGCAACAACAGTTTACAAAAAGAACATAAACAACAGTGACATCTTTGTTACATACAAACTAAAAAATGACAGCAAATTCATTTTTGTAAGTGATGTAAAACGCTTATGATTGTTGCCGTTTTTTCCTTTTTGTCGCAAATTAGATTTGCCTAAATAAGTTTTTAAAAAACTACTGAAGACTGATGTCGATAATAAGCTTAATACTTTTTTATTCAGATGTTCAAGTAGAACCATTTCAATCGAATAACGATTTGTTGATAAGAAGGTCCTAGCGTGTGTAGTGGAGGATGTTGGAGTGCCCGTCCCAACAGTGGATCTTTCCGTCACACAGCGACACTCGCAACCTGCGGATGTGGGAGCCGTGCATGTGCATGTCTTCGTAAATCTCCAGAACGTGCTGGTGACCATGGTTGAGAGTGGTGTATACCGCCACGGTTTGGCCCTTCGTTAGCATGGCCACGTCATCCTGTGACAGGAACACGTCGTGCATGTGAAGGCCCTGTTGACCCGTGGCTGAAGACGTCTGGTAGTGTTCCTCGTGACCTGTAGGGTTCACGGTGCTCTGTAAAACGGCGGGTTTCTCGTGGAAGTACTTCGCGTTGACAGCCATGTTCATAACAAGATCTTTAAGAGCATCTAGTTCTTTATAGATAGCATTGCCCTCCTGATGTGTCGGAACCATGGGGTACCGAAGACGTACGGTCCCGACTGAAGGAATATCTCTCAGAATGGTCTGCGTGCCAGACGGTACCACGGAGTGAGTGTGACCCGCTCTATCCATCGCGTAGTACACATGACTCCGTTTGCTGAAGAATTCAGTTGGAGTTTGATAGAAGTGCTCTATGTTTGTCCCGTTGAAGGCTTTCCCAAGCGTGTGGCCATCGCGGCCGCCTGTTGTGACAGAGTTCGCAGGACTGGTATGTACATCCCCGGCGATGTATGCTAAGTTGTACGGGTTCCAGGTGAGAAGCGGTGTCAGCCAAATAATTTCCAGTGGAATGGCGTAAGAATATCGGGCTGTGTCGGGAGTACACACGTTTTTGTGTGTGATCTTGTCCCTTTGACATGACGTATAAGACAGTGATGCGACATTGGGCCGAGTATTGGATGCCACCCACAACGTTCGGTCAGCGTAGCCACGATTGATAACACTGGTACCCATTGCACCCTTCTGTAGCACGCGGTACCAGTGGTGGTAATGGCCAACATTGAGTTTTGTGTTGTTGCGAGGGAAATGTGCGTTATATGCTGTCAATCCAAACTCCCCACCTGTTATGTTGGCTGGGTAGTTATCTTTGCCAGGGATCTCCTCCATGATTGCGTCCAAGATGGAATAGTGCGAGAAGGTGCGATCAGCCATTCCGTGACCAACATCTGCCGAAAACTTCATTGGTTTACGGCCAAACTCTATCAGATCAAATCGGGCTGACGTCGACTTAGCAAAATCGTACAAACTTGTTTTGGCTGATAATCTGGCGGCCAAGTCATCTTTTATATAGAAAGACGCCAGTTTGAGTTCCTGCTGGACTGGGTGGCATGCAATCCTCGCGTTCCAGTGGGCGTACATGGCCGTACCATTGACCACACTCATGATCTTTGTGGGGTTAAAGGGTTGTCCGGCTTCTAGTCCGTCAGTGGATACAAACTCAATGTTCAAAGCCTCGCTCATCCATCTCCTCTGGTCGTGTGCTGCCCCATCTAACCAAGTGCCCTCTAGATAACATAACACGGGTTTGAAGTAGTCGGCATAGTCGCTGCGTATCTTCGCATCCTGATACTTGAAGGCTCTGAAATACTCCCGCATCTCAGCTATCTGATCACTGACGTTGTGTTTGGCTAGAACAGAGGGAGGCACATTCGGATATGGTATGGGTTCTGTTTTGTGCCAGTCACGACTAGTTTTACTCGGCATGCTCAGCTTGTAACGCTGGCTTGGTAGCTTGAACTCCACACCGTTCATGACGAAGATGTTTGTACTGATAGCTAGCTGCTCTCGGTTATTGAATATATCGTAGAAGTTTGCGAGTCTCGGAGACACGATGTCGTTGAGGTAAGGTCGGGAACCCCTGTGTCGGACCATCGTCTGCTTGATGCCCGAGTCTCCATCAGATCGGATACGTTCCTCAACTCCCAACTGTTGCATCATCAGCTGGCGGGCCAGACCCCCCAGTGTTTGGCGGGCGCCACCAAGCTCTAGGTCCATCGGGTTCATGGTAGTGGTCGGCGTGGTCGGCTGGTGGGTCACCTGGTGTACAGGTCTGTGGGTCGGCGTGTGAGTTGCATGATGGGTACTGACTGCTGTGACCTCACCGCTATGGTGCAGCAAGCACGTTAGTGTCAACGCTATCACAATCTGCAACATACATGATAAGCAGTAGGTAAGCAATAAGATTGTAACATAGGCTGCTGAATAAAATGTAGAAATAAAAATGTATGGTATCACGTATAAGTGTCTCTTTGATATAGAAAACAATTACAGAAAAAACACGTTCATCAACGTTTAAACGGGCACTGGGAGCGAAAGACAATATCAGTCAGTGGAAATTAAAATCGTCATTATTCACACCCTCTGATTTGAAGAAACGCAAATATTCCCTACGGTTAAACCTGTTTGTGATGTGTGGGTATGCTATGCACAAAGACAGATACAGCAGACAGCCTGTCCGATGGACCGCATACAGTGTCAAAGACAGATACGCAAAACAGTCTCTCCGAAACAACGCACAGTGTCAAAGACAGATACGCAAAACAGTCTCTCCGAAACAACGCACAGTGTCAAAGACAGATACGCAAAACAGTCTCTCCGAAACAACGCACAGTGTCAAAGACAGATACGCAAAACAGTCTCTCCGAAACAACGCACAGTGTCAAAGACAGAAACGCAAAACAGTCTCTCCGAAACAACGCACAGTGTCAAAGACCACAAGTTCCTATTTGTACCGGAGGTGGATACCCCAATTATGATCCCCGAGAGAGGAATTCTCTATCCACCTACCGTTACATATGAAAGAGTATTTTTCTCTCATATCTACCATTAAAAACAAATACTTCACCTCTCAATGCCCACAGCCGGTTGCCATCTTCATGATTTTTCTTTTTTTTTTCATCGTGGTTTAAAAAAAAATTGCAGTAGAAATGAATTATCCATACCCTCAAACCGCAACGTCGTACACGCATAAAAACAACACATGCCCATGATAACTCTTTGGTATAGTTGTTATTCAACTTTTTTTTTTTTACATATGGCATTTTCTAAGCGCCATCTTTGAACCTCATCGCTCCTAACTGAACATCTCATTTAGTGCGCAGAAAATATAGTTCCTAGTTGAAAAAAGAAAACAAATTATGGTTTTGTTGTCAAATTGTTAATTCATGACTGATCATGTAATTAAGAGAGAGAGAGAGAGAGAGAGAGAGAGAGAGAGAGAGAGAGAGAGAGAGAGAGAGAGAGATTATAAAAGCAGATAGATGATCCTTATATCTATATATATATATATATATACATCAGACAGCCTGTCCGATACAACGCAAACAATGTCAAAGACAGGTATGTCCGACAGTCTGTCCGATACAGCCGATCTGCATCAAAGACAGACACATAATACACTCGACAGTATGCGTTGACAAACATGATTTTCAGTTGTTATTAACTAACATTTCTGACTGATAAAAATTGCAGAAATTAAGTTCAAGCTATACAACATCTATTACTTGTACAGTCACGAGAGTTTTTTTATGTGTACGTACCATGCTTGTGGAAGCTCCAGATCCCTTATGTCGTTGTTGAGGATGAAGGTCGTTATGTAACAGCTCTATTATCTCAGTATCTGTTTTGACTGACAGGTGGCGCTCCCAGCCCCGGTCGACACGTTAACCTATAACCTGTGAATTATCATCTTCTGAATCCTTGTACGATACCCCTCTCTTATCTTACTTTTCCCATATTTCGGACGTTCAATAATATTAAAAACATTAAAAAATAAGAAGAAAAAAAATTGATACAAAGAAAAACGGCGAATTCTTAATGTTAGTGGTAATAAAGTTTAAAATGGTTTTGTACATTATAATTCTAATAACAACTTATCTGTAGCCATTGACGTTACATTGACCGGGAATGTTTTTATACGTTTTAGTAATATTGGAAATAAAATTGCATCAGCTTTACGCATCTCACAACTAAATAATTACCAGGGAACCACGCGATTTATACGTCACCCTGGACATCATTTCCTGTTATAACTTAAGGAGACACCTTTCATTTTCCAACTCGTTGTTTTATCTCTAATTCAACCGGGAACCGTCGGCAACAATGTCTGTGAACGAGAAAATATTTGTCTCGTTAGCGTAAAGTGCTGACTGTCCCCGATTACTTGAAATCTGCTTTTTATATCTGGCAATCCTACCCGTGGTGCTAACTAGCGCGTCGTATAAATATGGTGAAGGGGGAAGGGGGAGGAGTGGTTCCCAACTAAACGAGATTTGGATTTAAATTCGATTTTGGTCGACTCTGCCGAACTAGAAAGTGTTTTTCCAACCAAATATAAACATCCAAACGGAAACAGATTATTCCACTCACCATAGTTGGTTTCCGTGATTATCCACGGAATTCGTGGTTTATCTTACTGTGCCCCCCTTCATGACCAACAGTTCGGAAGGCTTACTACCAAGATGTACGATAAACAAAACAATGTTGATATTCCGATCGTGAACTTTCCCTTTCTTTATGGTCTATGAATCCCAATTTACGGTGTATACATGTCTCAGCTTATTGAGTTTTCAAGAGCTAACTTGAAAATTTCAAGATATCGACTTTACAACGTAGATGTGGACTTTGCACGGACAAACTGACAACGCAGGGGTTCTAAAGTTGAAGGTTGATTATAGACACTTGTTATGGTCGCTCTCACTATCTCATTCTAAAATATGTTTCCGTTTTGCTGTGATATGAAGATCAATGTTTATGATTACTAGTATGCTCGTTAGTGTTTCTTGTTTTATTTCAACGGTCGTCTCTACCTAGGTCCTCGCTGTGAAAACTGACATTACTCTGATTTGGTCAAGGTTTACGTGGCGAGTGTTGTACTCTGAGTTGGTCAAGGTTTACGTGGCGGGGGTTGTACTTTGATTTGGTCAACGTTTACGTGGCGAGTGTTGTACTCTGATTGGGTCAAGGTTTACGTGGCGAGTGATGTACTCTGATTTGTTCAAGGTTTACGTGGCGAGTGTTGTACCCTGATTTGGTCAAGGTTTACGTGGCGGGGGTTGTACGTTGATTTGGTCAATGTTTACGTGGCGAGTGTTGTACTCTGAGTTGGTCAAGGTTTACGTGGCGGGGGATGTACGTTGATTTGGTCAAGGTTTACGTGGCGGGTGTTGTACTCTGATTTGTTCAAGGTTTACGTGGCGAGCGTTGTACTCTGATTTGTTCAAGGTTTACGTGGCGGGTGATGTACGTTGATTTGGTCAAGGTTAACGTGGCGGGTGTTGTACTTTGGTTTGGTCAAAGTGTACGTGGCGGTAGTTGTACTTTGGTTTGGTCAAGGTTTACGTGGCTGGTGTTGTACGTTGATTTGGTCAAGGTTAACGTGGCGGGTGTTGTACTTTGGTTTGGTCAAAGTGTACGTGGCGGTAGTTGTACTTTGGTTTGGTCAAAGTGTACGTGGCGGTAGTTGTACTTTGGTTTGGTCAAAGTGTACGTGGCGGTAGTTGTACTTTGGTTTGGTCAAGGTTTACGTGGCGACTGTTGTACTCTGATTTGGACAAGGTTTACGTGGCGAGTGTTGTACTCTGAGTTGGTCAAGGTTTACGTGGCGAGTGTTGTACTCTCATTTGGTCAAGGTTTACGTGGCGGGGGTTGTACTTTGATTTGGTCAACGTTTACGTGGCGAGTGTTGTACTCTGAGTTGGTCAAGGTTTACGTGGCGGGGGTTGTACTTTGATTTGGTCAACGTTTACGTGGCGAGTGTTGTACTCTGAGTTGGTCAAGGTTTACGTGGCGGGTGTTGTACGTTGGTTTGGTCAAGGTTTACGTGGCGGGGGATGTACGTTGGTTTGGTCAAGGTTTACGTGGCGGGGGTTGTACGTTGGTTTGGTCAAGGTTTACGTGGCGGGGGTTGTACTTTGATTTGGTCAACGTTTACGTGGCGAGTGTTGTACGTTGATTTGGTCAAGGTTTACGTGGCGGGTGTTGTAGATTGATATGCTCAAGGTTTACGTGGCGGGTGTTGTACGTTGATTTGGTCAAGGTTTACGTGGCGGGTGTTGTACGTTGATTTGGTCAAGGTTAACGTGGCGGGTGTTGTACTTTGGTTTGGTCAAAGTGTACGTGGCGGTAGTTGTACTTTGGTTTGGTCAAGGTTTAGGTGGCGGGTAATGTACTTTGATTTGGTCAAGGTTTACGTGGCGGGTGTTGTACGTTGATTTGGTCAAGGTTTACGTGGCGGGTGTTGTACGTTGATTTGGTCAAGGTTTACGTGGCGGGTGTTGTACGTTGATTTGGTCAAGGTTTACGTGGCGAGTGTTGTACGTTGATTTGGTCAAGGTTTACGTGGCGGATGTTGTAGATTGATATGCTCAAGGTTTACGTGGCGGTAGTTGTACTTTGATTTGGTCAAGGTTTACGTGGCGGATGTTGTAGATTGATATGCTCAAGGTTTATGTGGTTGGTGTTGTACGTTGATTTGGTCAAGGTTTACGTGGTTGGTGTTGTACGTTGATTTGGTCAAGGTTTACGTGGCGGGTGTTGTACTTTGATTTGGTCAAGGTTTACGTGGCGAGTGTTGTACTTTGATTTGGTCAAGGTTTACGTGGCGGGTTATGTCGATGAACCGAATTGTTGCTTCTATATCTCTTTGATGTTGTAGTAAAATTTTTTCGCATGTTCTTTTTTATGTTTATTTGATGTTGTGGTGTTTTAACTCAAGTTTCTATTGTTATATCCCTATGGTAGGCCTATAGTTATGTTGTTTTGGTAGGGCATTTTTTTTATATTGCTATGTTTTCCCCTAAATTCGTATTGTTATATCTCCATGGTTAAGCAGTGTTGTTTCTTGCGAGGCTATTGCTATTTTTGAAGGGGATATGCTGTTTCCCGAGGGGTACACTAAATGCGTATCCCCGTGGTGTTTGTTATGTACATGAATTTCGTAAGATGTTGAAGCGATATCCCGAGGAGTGGATTGAGGGGGGTTACATGTACGCGTTGTCCTAGTTAATTGGGCCGCGTGCACGGGGAGAACTATCAGACATCTGCCGTGGACGTATCGGACCAGCGACAAATTGACACACACTATCAGACAGGTGCACGTTCTATCAGGTGTATTTATACAGGTACATTAGATCAGACGTCACACTTCACATCTCTGGCTGCAGAAATGGCACTTAAGGTAAGCACGGCTAGCTTTGTTTGTGTTTAATGTTTAATACATTCAACATTCATAAGCTGGATCTGAATATTGTCTTTCAATGGACATGATTTTGCCTGTATTCAATTTATTAGTTTTTAAAAGAGGAAAGGTATAGGTTTTTTATAAGAAATATCTAAAGTAAAGAACGGTTCAACTATCGCCATGTAGCTGAATGAGATAACATAAAACAACACACAATTGCAGTCCCCGGGTGATTATGTATAAATTCTGAAAAAAAATACCAATGTTTACGGAACTGAGTAGAGGCGGTGCCGAACACAAAGATCTACATATGTAACGCAATCTGTGTTTTCGGCCATTTTGACTGTTCATTTCAGGAAAATTCCATTCATTTTTATATGTTTTTATTCCGGTTTCCACGAATCTCCTGTATATAACGCCGACAATTTCCGCAAAAACACTGTACTCGGTTTTCCACACAAGCATTTTGTCTCCTTTTCCCCCGATCTGTTGCTTTTGTTTTCGCATTATTGTATTTGATGTGTCCGTTACAGATGCTGTTACTTGCGGTATTAACGATCTCGGTGTGGACAGCCAGCGCTAACCGGGGCCACGATCTAAACGTGCTGAAAGGCACCGTGCAGACCCTAGCCCGCCAACTCATGCTGCAGCAACTGTTCGTGGAGGAGAGAATACGATCGGACGGAGACTCGGGTGTAAAACAAATCCGGGTGGCCAACAAGGGCACCAGGAGCTACTTTGCGGACACCATTACCCAGCGGTCCGCCTTGGCCATCCATGACCACTCCAACTATGATCGTACAGTGGGTATGGGCGAGTTAATTGCTGTCCTCAACGGTGTCGAATTCCGCACCCGACACAACGACTACAAACTACGCATGCCCAGTAGACACTCCAAGACATACAACGCGTTGGAAGACCTGCCTTTCCCCGATGTGCCGCCTTCCGTTAGAAACAAGCATACGGTGGTGGAACAGATCAAGGAGATGCGCGAGTACTTCCGGGCGTTCAAGGAACAGAACCCACAAATCCGCTCAGACTATAAGAACTTTTTCAAGCCTGCCATGTGTTATCTTGAGGGAGGCTGGACCACTAACACAGAATCACTAGAAGAACCCTTCCACAGCGACCGCCATTTTCTAGACGCGGCTGGCTGGACTGATCTACAGAAGAAGATCCGATTTGCGTCTTACACCGGAAGTAAGAGCTTGATGGAAAACTACGGCTTCCTACCCACCACACTTGTGGACGTCAAGAACGGAACACCTGTGTACGCCCAATGGAACTACCGCATCCTCTGCCATCCAATTAAAACAGAGCTAGGGCTTGGAGACTTCGCTCTTGTGGACGACATAGGGTCACGTCTGGCCAACAGGAAGACTATAGATCAAATGTCTATGAACAAGGCGGCCAGGTTTACCCTGAACCCCACACACGCCAGCCACAATTACAACAGCACGCGTGGACATGGAAAGCTCGACATCAGACTCTACGGACAAGGCATTATAGATAACATTATGCAAGAAATTCCAGGTAAGGACAATTATCTTGCAGACTTAAATGATCACTCATTTCAAAAGACGGAGTACGATATGAAGTACTCCAACCTTACTCAGCTGAACACCGGGTACTATCACCGCTGGTTCAAGTACCAACAAGAGGGCAATCCTAGAACATACACCGCGTACCGGGGTTACTCTGACCAGAACCTGTGGACCGCCCAGACAACACAGCAACAGATAAACCCTCGCGATGTCAGGAATTGTTATAACGATCATCACACGCATAAACGCGTGTGTCATATGCAGAGCACCAGGTACACGTACGCTATCCCACTAGAAATCATCTGGCTTACACCGCTGTATAAATGGAATCCATATGACTTAACATTCCACCATGGGTCTCCCACAGTTTCGCCAGCGAACTCAGTCGACGCAAACGGTCGAGATGGTGGGATGAGCGCCACCAAAGCCTTCAACGGTACTCGCTATGATGCCTTTTATTTTACGCCAAACGAGTTCTTCAAGAGCGGTGCAGACGTCACCAGAGAGGCGGTAGGTGTTCTGGACAAACACGACCAGGTTAGGAGCGTTCGATCCTCGGGCACCCGCATCTTCTTACCAGATATTGAAGGTGTTGGCAAGGTGAGACTAAGGTACCCCATCGCGCCAGCGCATTTTGAGGGTAACGCCGTCTACAAGGAGATAGACGCTCTCAAAGAGATGGTTATGAACATGCAGGACTACGTGAAGTATTTTGAGGTACCACCAGCAGTTGGACAACACACGACCAACCAGACTCTCGTGATTGCACCTGACGACGAACACTTTCAGATGTCTAACACAACGTACCATAACAAAATTCACATGCATGACGTATACTTGAGCAAACAGCAATACCGTGACGTGTTGCACTCCAAAAACGTCACCGTGTACTCGTCTGTTGCCATGGGACACCAGCATCAACTCGAGATAGCCGTAGATCCACACAACCACACCGTCTTCAAGATCAACAAGTGTGACGGTCATCCAACTTGTTATGACGGCCACTCACCCATTCTCACGCATCTTCCTTAGGCCAGACATCACTTCTGATGGCACGTCACTACCTATGAGGAAGAGCAGATTGCATCAGTCTAATTGAAATTCACATTCAAAATATTAAATGGTTATCAATTTGCAAGTGGCTTCGGCGTTTTTATGAAATATAAACCTTCATGTGTGATCAGTATATGGTCATTTAATACTACCAAGGGTTTCCGAAAGTTGTGCTAATATTAGAGAATATGACACGCAGCGTATGTAGTAGTTGGTCTAGATCACAGGAACCTGATACTTTGTTACAGCTATTTTTGAACATAAACTAAGGTGTTCAGAGTCATTTTACACGTGTTAGGGGTTTAGATCAATTTTCGGTAAAAATGCTTCCCCCAATGCTGATAATATAATTTGTTACTGCTATACTCGTATATTATCATCATTGGGGGAGGCATTTTACCGAAAATTGATCTAAACCCCTAAAACGTGTAAAATGACTCTGAACACCTTAGTTTATGTCAAAAAATAGCTGTAACAAAGAATCAAGTTTCTGTGATCTAGACCAACTACTACATGCCGTACTTTTATGAAATATTATAAAGATGAAGTAAACAAAACTTAATCAACAGCAGCGGAGCTAGACCGGGATTCGAGCAATAGACTTTCGGTCTAACCGACCGAGCTCCCTTGACAACGGAAGTGTCCTGGCAGATACATCCAAAAAATAATTAAGATGGGGGTCACAGTAACTACAAAAACCACAGTGCAATGGGACAGGGATCCTCAACTATGTCGCATATATAGCTTAACCATGGCCTATGATAAATAAATGGTATTTTATAATGCTGAAAACAGTATGAAAATCGATTGGATATTTAATTCATACTCTCATCAAGAACTCCACCGAAGTGGATGTGTCGGCTGGCCGGAAAAGGTGGAATGATGGACGCAATTTGCCTATAAAATGTGAAGTTTGCGGTTGTATTAATGATCCGATTACAACAGCCTCATTAAACGTTTACAAAGGAAGTTAGGAAGTAAGTATATCACGCAAGTTTCATTTGAAAATACTTTTAATATAAAGTAAATAAGCTGCTATTTTAAGTTTTGTTTGCGACGCAGAAATACTACACCACATTGTCATTCTGTCCATTTAGGACTTATAGAATAAAAAGACATGTCTAAACTGTTCTGAAACATGTCGAGAAATACAGAGAGTAGAAACAAAGGTTTGTCTGAAAACAAGAGGCCCAAAGGGCATGCATTTCTCACCTCGATTTTATCCTGAAACAGAAAATTCGGTTTGAAAGCATGAAGCTTAGATAGGGCCAGTCCCCGAAGCCGATCCATGTAGCATGTGTTTCCAAATCTTATTACTCCAAATTGTCACAGCGTGGGCATCTCAAATAATTCCATGTTATGTCCCTAAGGGTGAGGGGTTTGTTATCTCAACCATTTCCATGTCATGAACCAGAAACCAAATCATAGGAGTTGGGCCAAGCCAGAGGCTTATGTATGTATAAATGGTTAAAG